TTTGCGGCCGGAGATGCAGAAATAAGGTTTACAGAAGTAATCACCACTGATAAGTTTAACTCACGATGTTCATGATTTGTGCTATTAGGGTTTTGGGTTACTACAGACTTATCGTGTTGATACAATCCTCTTTGCCAAATAGTAGCCATTAACCAGTTCACGATATATATTGCTGGCAACCTCGCATTTGAAATCATATCCAACATCCCACATTTTCAAGCTTTCAATTATCTTAATATACAATTAAAACGGAGAGAAAACCATTCGAGTGATGATGTAACGCAACTATGACACCCGACAAGCAATTCTACGACTGGTAATCTCCAAACCTCCAATTTCTTCCCAACCATACCCCCGCGCCGGAACTAACCTACCTACCCACCTACCCCAAAAGCAATCCATTTCCCAGACAAGCCCTACCAAGGCACCCCCCCCCACGAACTCCTCTCTAGCGATCCAGCATTGCATCCCTCCCGGTTAATCGCAGTTGCGGGAACAGCAAGTACTTTAGCCTCCCGGTTAGATCTCCCGGATATCGCGACCCCTCGCTTTCCTGCTGATGTGCGTAAGATTCTATCACGCCCACACAGCTTTCAGCGAACTACACGACCGGAAACCGCCCCATTTCCCAGAATTCCCGCTAAAGTCGGCCCGCCCCCACACCCCCAATTCTCACCCACCCACCCCACCTACCCACAACCTGGCGCTTGGCAAAATAGGTCAGTCCGCTGCCGGTATTTACCCGCGCGCGATCAGATATGGTACTACACCACAATCTGTGAGAAAAGGATCACGCTCACTTCCCTATCACCCCTAGACAATAGAGTTTTCGCAGAGAAATAGGATTTATGAGACGTGTCAATCGATCAAGGCGGTCTCCCGCACGCCGGTAACCCCGCCGGAATAAAGTTTATTCCACCGGCAGCCGTGCCCCAGAGATAGCTCAACGGCCAAGCCAGTACGGGTAAGCAAGCAGATACCAGCAGCACCGCAGCAGTCTAGTCCACAAATTCCTGAACATCACAAAACATCACTCGCCGTCCCTCCACCCGACTCTCAAACCCGAAGCATAATCATACTCCCAGACCGCCGGAACCCCCACCCCGCCCCCCACCATATCACAAACTAAATGAAAGAAAAAGTTAAAAAAACAATATGAAGAAAAAAAGTAAAAGTAAAACTCGTACCAAAAAGGTCATGCGAAGCTCACAAGATTGTACGCCACCGATCGTGACTTGATCCGTCCACGGCAAACCCGACAGGGTAAGTTCCAAGCAATGTCTAGCATGATCTGCAGGGTATCTCGCATAGCGGCTACTGTACTCGTACAGTACTGTACGAAGCTCGATGGATGGATCGCGTCATCCCTGTTCAGATCCCGATGGGGGCGTGTGTGGGCGGAAGAAGCCGGGGTTGTGGAACATGCTTGGGGTGTCACCGGCGGTACCATATTGCGGTGAGCGAGTGAGTGCCCTTTTGGATTGATTGTTGCGGTGTCGTCGTTGATCACTCGCCCTAATCCGCACCTTTTGTGAGGGGGTTGTGGGAGTGTCCTGTGTCTGCCGGATGGGTATACCACCGCACCGCAGGAAGGAGGAAATGAAAAGGCACCGAGGTGGTTAGTCGACCTATGATACCTCGGCGTGGCTGGTCAAGATCTCACCATACCCTGATACTGGATCCCCGATACCGCAGGTTAAGTGAGAGCGGCCACCAATCCGTCCACTATCCAAGCCACACACCTTTTATTTCCCGACAATTCCAGCCGATTCAAAACACCAGCCTGATACTTTCGGCAGTTCTTGAATGCACAATACGCTCCCCCAGGTGCTGCTTGCCCTCAGACTGCAATTCGCTCTCGCTATGCATGGAAGCACCAAATGTTGTGCATGAATCCCTATTACCGCCAAGGACCTTGGACTCTGCCCAATCCCCCATACCTTCCGCGATGCTCTACCAGGCGGGGCGTCCCCGGAAGTTCTCAAATTTGGACCGGACTTTGCTCATATTTTGCACGTTCGGTGTGGTGCAAATATTGCTCCAGTACGCTTGCTACTAGGAGTAGTGGTAATAGCGCTAGCGGTAACTCAGTTCCTCTCGATATTCCAGGAAAACCTCCTTTGGAGGTACTCTGCCGGTAGAAGCGGCGGTGGCCCTTCCGTGTGCTTCATCGGTGGTGCAGGCGGCGGCGTGAAAGGGTTGACCAATGGCAAACTCCGTTCTTGGTAAGTAGGTCTTAGCATCTCAATCTCAAATCCAATCAGGGGCCCTCCCTTCCTGGGCCGACAGCAGTGGCAAGCTCTGTGATTCACATGCAGGGGCCAGTTGTGTTTCCGGTATCGACTCAAATCCGGGAGGCCCCTGCCCGTAGGTCGAGCCCGCCTCTTCAACTTCCGACATCCAGCGTTCGCACGCCGTAGACGTGTCCGGGAATTCCTCGCAGATCCTACCGAGCCCAGGCGATACATGACCGCCCGTCAGTGGGTGTTGACTCGCGGAGATTATCCGCCGTCTAGTGGGTGTCTCCGGGTCATTCAGAACATTGCATGACGACCCCGTCGGGCTGATCATTCGGCTATACGGGGTCCGCATACCCCGCATGTCTCCGGTGGATCGGCGGTCGTCTCGGAAAAAATACCTCATCAGGCATGGGGTATATGGACTTCCCCGGGTGGGGATTTCTATCGACGGTGGCGGTGGGAGTGCTAGAATTCCGCGGGACTGGTCACGGGGTCCGGAAAAGGGGCGTGGAGGGGGGGGGTGTGGGGTATCGGGGTGCAGGCGAAGCAATCCTGTAGATTTTTATTAAGCTGCTGATTCAGTTTACCGTATACTCCCCTTTGAGAGGTGGTGGTGGGGATTTAGATCGTGACGAGAACAAGCCCATCGCAGAATGTGTCTCCCTTGTAGAATCTGATATTATCTGGACAGATGTGCAGCGCCGCCATGGAACATGCACTTTCAGTACTGTACATTTTCGTATGTATAACGCTCAAGTGACAATTCATGACTCAGCCCTGAAGGCCAACCCAACAACGGACCAGATACCCAACAGACATACAACAAGTACCGTACTCGAATATAATAAGAGGAAAGTGCTGCCGGTAGGTCGTTGGAATTGCCCCTCGTAACAAGGCGCTTTGTGTTTCCGTTTTTTCTCTTGTTCTCAGCTGGGCTGAGGTGGCGGTGGTTTGGCCGCACCCATCCCAGAAAGGGAATTCCAACGACATAGCACATCCCATCCCGCCCGAGTATGGATACTTGCGGTAATGGCACTCTAACCTTGCGCTCAGCTATTACAGCCTCGCCATGGCCTCCTCCAACAAACAGGAATGAAACAATCATTTGTTTCCCCCTCGCTCCTCTTAGATAGGGCCAATTAGACGGCAACACCCAAACACTTCTCTCCAAATCTCCGCCCAAACGTTACTATTACCGCCAAGCGAAAATGAGCGAAGAGGCACCAGTCGTATGTATCATACCATTACAGGAAAAACTTCCACAAAACATTTCAACAAGCCAAGAGTAAATCGAAAATCTTTACCGTGAACAGCGCCCATTCAACTATTTACCTGCAACAGTTGGTCACTTTCGATGGATAACAAAACAAACGAGTTGACACAGAACAGCTGACCCGATCCAGTGCATTGATATGGCAAGGGACAAACCAACCCGACGAGACAAGCTTCGCCGGAACCCAGGCTGGTGCATACTCTGCAGCGTGAGCCCGTAACATTCCCCTCCCCTCCCCTCCACCCGGCCCCCGTATGCGGTGAGGGAGCCACCGTCATCAGTGGCATCAGAAGAAATCACTCGAGGCCCATCTTGCCGTCTCGAGTGTGTCTCGGAGCAGAGGTTGGATTATGCGGACCCATTTGATGACTTGTGAATTATGAAAAGGGAAGAAGAAAAAATGTAAAAAGTTTACCGTCGTCTCATGCTTCCGATTGAACCTTCTTTGGGAGATCTAAGCTTTTCGTGCTATAATTTTGCGAAGAGGAATAACACTTGGATGCAGCACTGGGCTGCACTTGTACCTGCATTTTCGTTATCTAGGTTCGCTGTCAGCTCTACAACCACCCATCCGTCCTATCCCATCTCACTCTCACTCCCGGTACGTTTTGGGTTTGCATCTTCCTTAGGGCAGTGAACGAGTGAAAAATTGAAAATGCACACGGACTAAAATGTAAGCGAATGTATGAGGGCATTCTGGGTTTGAAAACCGTTTCCAAGCCAAGAGGGTGATCGCTACGGAATATGCTCCCGTCAGTTAGTGCGAGATTCTGTTCCCCCTCGTTTCCTTCCAACCACTCTTCCGTGCCCCTGAATATATACTAAGTACGGTAGCTAAAGTATTTCATTAGCACCAGAGCCTCCCACGTCTCCACGAGTTAGAAAAGTGGTGGTGTTTCGCCAAACCAAACTGAAGCGCAGGGCCAATAATCGAATCCTATCAGATTTCCCCACGTGTACAACTCAACCAATGAGAATGATGCCCCTAAACGGATATCGCCTCATCCCCGCAGAAGCGAAACCAAATTCTCCTGGTGCGATAGAGTAGCAGAGCCCCGCCTGGCGGGTGGGTAGGCACGGATAGCATGTTCATTCAAGAGCCCTCATTACCAACTCCATCTCTCTACCCGAAATTTGTATCGTCGAGTGATGTACGGTGATGCCGCGGCTTTGAAGGGATAGCGCATGCGTTTCAAGAAGGGCGGAGTCATTTCTGTTGTATTCATCTCTTGCGGTGAGAGAGACAGAAAGAAGGCCTGCTTGAAACCGTCGCACTGTGAATAGCAGTTTATTCAAGTTCTTTCAAGTTCTTTCAAGTTAGAAAGGGGTTTTATTTTCGAGCTATCTCGTCAGATATCAATTATATATCGGGGATTGCTTTCTCTTTCTCTCGACCCCCCAAGTTAGCGATAACATCACCTACACAGTGTCAAGAAAATACCTACTTATACAGCTCCTAACAAATCTATCCCCCTCCAACACAAAAAATGCGGTCAACACACATCCTCTCCCTTGTGTGCCTCACGGCCGTCCTCACAAATGGACACATGACAATGACCGAACCGAAACCCCTCCTCGACCCCAAGAACCCGAACACCAAGAATGGAGACTACGACTACAGTGCCCCTCTCTCAAAAAGTGGCACCAACTTCCCCTGCAAGGGCCACCACAAAGTAATGGGTACCCCGGAAGGAGCCCCCGTCGCCACTTGGGCAGCAGGTTCTAAACAATCCTTCACCATCGGTGGTGGGGCGTCTCACGGTGGTGGGAGTTGTCAAGCGGCGATATCCGAAGATAGTGGTGGTTCCTGGCGGGTTATGCAATCATATGTCGGTGGTTGCCCAGCGGCCGGGCAATCTTATTCCTTCACCGTTCCCGCTGAAGCAAAGAGCGGAGTCGTGCTATTCGCTTGGACTTGGTTCAATAAGGTGGGGAACCGCGAGATGTACATGAACTGCGCATCGATCACTATCACTGGCGGTACTGGTGCTGGGCTTAGCAGTTATCCGGAGCTGTTTACAGCGAATATCGGTAACGGATGCGCTACCGCAGAGGGCTCCGACGTTTTGTTCCCAAATCCCGGAAGGAACGTTATCAATACTTCCGATAAGACTGGCTCTCCAACTGGAAACTGTGCTGGAGGAGGTGGCAGTTCATCTGGCTCTTCGGATGGCTCTGGCTCTGGCTCTGGCTCTGGCTCTGGTTCCGGTTCTGGTTCCGGTTCTGGTTCCGGTTCTGGCTCCGGTTCTGGTTCCGGTTCTGGCTCCGGTTCTGGCTCTGGCTCCGGTTCTGGTTCCGGTTCTGGCTCCGGTTCTGGCTCTGGCTCCGGTTCTGGCTCCGGCTCTGGCTCTAGTGTCGGTGCTGGAGCTGGCTCCGGAAGTGGTTCAACAGCAACCGTTTCCCCCGCCCCTTCAAAGACTTCGAAATCATTCGGTTCTTCCGGTACAGGTTCTTCGGGCTCTGGCTCTGGCTCTGGTTCGGGCTCTGGCTCTGGCTCTGGCTCTGGCTCTAGTGTCGGTGGTGGAGGTGGCGCCGGAAGTGGCTCGTCGGCAACTGTCTCAGCCGCCCCTTCCAAGACTTCGAAAGCATTCGGAGCTTCCGGCACAGGTTCTTCGGGCTCTGGCTCTGGCTCTGGTTCGGGCTCTGGCTCTGGCTCTGGCTCTGGTTCTAGTGTCGGTGGTGGAGGTGGCGCCGGAAGTGGCTCGTCGGCAACTGTCTCAGCCGCCCCTTCCAAGACTTCGAAAGCATTCGGAGCTTCCGGCACAGGTTCTTCGGGCTCTGATTCCTCCGGCTCGGGATCCGGTTCGGGTGCGGGATCCGGTTCAGGCTCGGGTGCGGGATCTTCAATGGTTTCCTCATACGGCACGTCAGCACCCACCAGCTCAGTCAAAAAGCAACCCACCACAGCTCCTGCCGCAAACCCCTCCTCACCCGCAGCCGTCAAGCCAACAACCACCTCCCCGGCAATGTTTACAATTATGACGCCTCCAGTCGAGGACGGTGACGTCGTGGTCACCCCAACGGGAGCCAATTCCAAGGGTCCTAGTCCCACCACCGCCGCTCCAAGCTACACTTCCGTTTCGAAAGGGAAGTGTAAGTGTGAATGCAACGGGCGGGTATTTAACATTGGGGAATTTTAAGTGTACGCTAGTTTGCAGACCCTGTTTCTTCTGAGCTAGGCCACCCGAGTATCCGGTAGTTAGAAGAGCTTCCTCTTGTATTTTGAGTTTTTTTCATTCCTTTTTTATATTTTTTGTTTTTGATACATTAATAGCGGTGGGGACGAGAACGCATATACGATAGTAGTAGGGGTATTTCCTTATTTTCACCCTTCAGAATTAGTCACATCATTCCTGTCCTTGTTTGAGTGGAATTTCGGTCAAGTTTGTGATTGACTTACATGCTGTTTCTTAGTATACCTATAACTGAGCTTGGTGAGGTTAAACCACACCTTTTTCCCCGGAAAATGCTTTCAGTAAATCATTGGTCGAGGTATGAGTGATAAACTGTGGACTAAGCCCAAACAGTACCCTATCGGATCCAAAAAGTGCCTATCACAGACAGATGGCCAGCACACTCTAACCTTACCACGACATGTCCGAAGCCCCTGAGTACCGTACCGCAATATCCGAAATTATCCCTCGGGTAGGAAGGCTTATCTCTCAGTTCATCCCGGAAAATCCCCTAGAAACGGCAACCTTGCAAAAATTGCCGAACCTCCGAGCTCATATCGCGATATCTCGCACCCCTCGCGGCCCTATCTATTATATCTTGCTCGTACTCGTATAGTACAGCTACTTTCCAAGCAACAACAGTCACCCTTTTTCTAGTCAGTCCGTACTGCTATCCCCAACCCGCCGACAGTTCCGCAAGCCCGGCAAACTCCGCAGGGTGCTATGTGCCAACTACCATATTCCGCGAGTGATCCACCATGAACACTACCAGGGGGCGACAGCACCAGCCGGCTTTCAAAACGGCCAAGATGCCCCTGAGTTTGATAAAGCGAGCGTACCCAGACGAGGCGGTTAAGCGAGCCTAGTATCGACAGGATCGTGTAGGAGGAAAATTGACTTACCGCGAACTCATAACTCATCAAGCCATTCACAGGCCACAACCGCCCGATAATCAAATATAAAATCAAAAAGCCTCAAGAAGGGTTTCTCCCAGATGCCACTGGTTAGGGTGCCGTGGCTGCTGGCCCGTCTATATGCCACGTAAAATATTTTCAAGCCATAGATGTCTTAGAATCCAAGGGTTAGCCCAACGGGAATTTCGAGAATAGCAGGTGCCAGTATCCGCACTAGTAGAAGAGGTTCAGACCAATCAGAGCGTCGCAGCCCCCGATGTGCTGCTATAGGGGGGGGGGCGATAGTTAGGATGAGTATGGCGTTAAAAGTTTTTGTGGACGCGTGTACAAAGTCCACAAGCTGAAAAAAAAAAAAAAAAAAAAAGAAGTCGTTGTCAGCCCGAATCCTGAGCAGCATAGATTTTTACCAAAAGGACATTTATCCTGAGATGTCTTCCATAGTAGCCAGCGAATACACTTCAGCCCGGAAGAAAATAAGCCTTTTGAAACCAATCACTTGATATCCGATGACTGCGGTATTCCGCATACCGGCACCCAATTTCCCGAGCCTCCGGATTGTATGGTGCTATCCTTGAGCCCTATTACCATCTCGTTTTCCATGATTCATAAAATTGCTAATAGATTTAAGCCTTCCAATGCCAAATACGAGTGTTGGGTGCGGCCTCTTTCAAACGTAGCCCATTGAAGACTAGGGCCGCGGCTCGTGTCAGCATTCCAGGGGTAAAAAACGAAAAAAGCCGGGAGGAAAAAATACGCCGCCAAAAGACCATTATAATACCCAAGCCTAAAAGCCAGGCTCATCGCCAATTGAAATTGTTCAATTTGGCTCTTCAGCGCCACGGGGATAATTCTCCGCAAAAAGAAGGATACCGGCATTTCTCAGATAGCAAATCCGACCAAGCCCCACAAACGCCAAGTATTCGCATGCAGAAATGCTATCCCCACCAATCCATTGGGGGTTGCTTTGGATGGAGGAGTGAGGAGGGGGGGGGGGTTATACTGTACCCATTGAAAGTCACATGACTTTTCGTTTCCATTAGCAAACATCTCGAGAGTGATCAACGTAATACGAGTATGGACCAAACTGTGGACCTTTAGAACAAATCTTTCCAAAACCAGCTGGATACAGTATCTCCTCACTGAAAGAAACATTATTTTAATAGTGACAAACAACGAGACCGGGTAAATCTCTTCCCTCCTTATCATTGAGCCAAAAACCCCTTTAAATTACCTTTTAAGCTTCCCCGGACTATCATACCACAGCGGGTGGGCAAAAAACCCCACCTCTCAATTACCGGTATTGGTATACCAACTAAAGGTCCCACAAGCCTGTAAAGTCCCAGCACTTCAAAGTCATGATTATTGGCAATCTGCCAACCTAATATCAGCATAATTTCCCCCAGCAACCCCTCACGACAATGTCCCAATCTTTCACAAGGTGTAACGTGATGGGGAGGTGTCAGGAGACTCAGCAAATAGCCTAGCTGGACGACACCTGCAATATCTACATGCATGAATAGCTGCTTGGACGATTTTTGTGGACTTACCCGCATAGGCCCAGTATAAGGACCTAGTTAAAAACACCCTCCAACACGACGACTCCCAGTGTAAAGGTGCCCCAGTCACCAATATTCTTTCCCACCCGCTATATGATACTGCGCATCCACTGGGTCATAATCGTGCAGAGCACAAAGCCATAAACCAACCCGATCACAATATGTCGGGAGTCTCCCAAAGTCCGGGAACAAAAACTAACTACCACCCAAATCCCCATACCTTCACAAATATACCGCAAACGCCACTATGATAGAAGTAGAGCGCAATCCCTCCTCCCCCTCGTCAACTCAAAAAAAAGTTTAGACATCATACGAGTCTGCCGCCACACACACACTAACACTAACACTTGCGCCAAAACCCGTCACTACGGCCTTTAACAGTTGGTGCCAAAGTACAATATTGAGACCAAAACCCAAAAGGATCCCTCTCCACCACCCCCCCCCATTCATTCCTCCACCAACAAGGTATGATACTTACTTATGCGAGAGTACAGTACTGAACGCCCCACGGGCATCGCTAGGTCCATATACGATGCCATCAAGCATTACACTGGCCCAAGATGTGCCTCTCCCCCTAACTCGGTTACTAGAGCATCATCTCATAACGTCGAATCCAACGAATCTCGAGTGTCCCCCAGCGATGCCAGAATTAGGAAGGGGTTTAGAGTAACCCGCCTACTCCCGCCCCCCTCTTCAAAAGCGTCCGTATTTCTCTTTCCCATCCATTTCCCGCAAGAAGGCGGTGTCCGCCGAAAGGTTGAATAGGGTTTTATCGTATTCACAAAGCGAAGGCCATACCGACCGGCCCCCCCGTTCGGAATATTCTTACATCCCAACAACGGTGTTCACGTTCCCTGCTTTCTTCCTGGGACGGTTAGGATTCCCGGGGAGGGGGTGGACGATCCAGGTAGATTTCCCCTTGTATCTCGTGCAATCCGGAGTGCGAGCTATTCGATCCCGCTGAAACCTTAGATACCCAATGGTAATCTCGCCAGGATAAATAGAGACATCCGTCACTCCCAGAGTGAAGAAACAAAAAAGTCATGTTCACACACTATCACTCGAGTATTACCCCAAGCTCCATCATTCCCTGGATGAAGTGCTGACCAGCTGCCGCTTTTTGCCGTGCTGTGTCATGGATGTACGATATAGGTATAGGTACAGGCGTGGCACGTAAGCTTACAATTCCACGCCCGAGAAGCCCTTCCTAGGTCAAGGTCCACCAGCTGAATCATGCGTACAGGTATCACGACGTTGCCAAAACGACACCATCCCGGATCTCAATTAGGTCCTTGCATGCTGGAAAAAGAGTAAAAAACAAAAGAAAGAAGGGGACGAGGTTAAGGAAAACGGGAAACAAAAAATAACAATCCATAACGCTACCTATAACTTACACCAATGGTCTATAGCACAGCACAGCAGAAGCACAAAAAAGAACCAAGACCAAGGAAATGTAAACGAGTTGGAAGGAAAAAAACGCCCTTGCCGATCCCATGCTGTAGAAACCCATATAACCCATGCTCAACAATCCCACCGCGTATGAAACCCGCAAAGCAGCGCAACCCCCCCATTGTCATCACCACCACCGCTACCAGAACCCACTGCCAGTGCTCATCAAGCATCCTCCTCCTTCATCCTAACCATCTCATACGCCCCACCCGAATCCCCGGCACCCACGGTGCCCCCTCCGACCCCGCCACTGCCACCACCTCCATTGCCGAAGGGAATAGGCCTCAGCTCTCTCCACCGACACGCCCAAGTCCCGACTCCAACCATCAAAGCCGCCGACGCAATCTGCAACCCCCACCAGAGCACACTCTTCGGCACCTCCCACTCGTACCCGGACACAACCAGTAAATGCAGGAAGTGCAGCGTAAGGCTAAAGTCCAGCACCATCTTACTCCGAGCGTGGACGAGGACTTGCGCTATTACCCTGTAGAAGTGTATCCCCCTATTAGCTAGCTGCCGCGGCGGGGAAAGGGAGGAAGGAGGCAACAAACATGATACCAGAACACAACAACCAAACAATACTCAGCGTCCAACCGACGGTATTATCACCGCGAACGCTACGCCATGAGAATATCAGGTCCAGGGAGAAGGCGCAGCCGGCGACGAGCGCAGTGAAGAGTATTAGGACGGAGCTTGAGATGTAGTAGATTGTTTGCAGCGAGAGGATTTGCAGGAGGGTTTTTAGGGGCTGGAAGGAGTCTGGTGATGGTCTGCGGAGTCTTCGGGGGCGCTTTGGCATCGCTTTTCCGTTGTTGTATCCAGATTTTTGGTCGTAGTCTCGGCGGTTAATGAGTAGATGGATGCGTGAGTGTTTCGTTTGTTCGTCCTTGGCTTGAGGCGATCGACGAAACAGGTGGGTTGATGACAGGTATGATAGGTGCTTTGTGTCGGGGATAAAAAGAAAAAATGTATGGATGTGGGCACCATTTTCTTGGAAAGATACCCCTACAATTGCTAAGCCTCCAAAAAGCCTTTTAGCCATTTGCATACATTTTTCACATTGTCTCTCAGACCGAAAAAAAAGTGGGCATTATGAACGTCATTGATTTCAAAAAGGTAGCACATTCAACGGTGCTATCAAACAACCATCACCACCACCACCACCACCTCGCAATCATCACATCTACGAGTACAGATCTGCGCCGCTCGCGCCCCCCCTTCTCCCAAAATGGGTTTTCTAAACTTCACTCAATCCACTCCAACCCCCGCCTCCAGCACCCCTCCCATAGCCCCAAGCCGATCCCAACGAGCCCTCTGCTGGGCAGCACGGGACCAATTCTTCGCCTGCCTGGACAAGCACAACATCCTGGACCCGCTTAAAAACCCAAAAGACTCCAAATCCTTCTGCGGTCCCGAAGATACATCCTTCCAAAAGGAGTGTAAAGGATCATGGGTATCCCCCCCCCCCTTCCCCCCCACGCATTTCCCCCATTCTAACATACATACATGCAAAGTTACTAATGGAGGGGGAGAGGAGATGTAGGTCGAGTACTTCAAGAAACGGCGAGTAATGGAACATAACCGCGAAGCAATGTTGAAAAGGTTACAGGAAGAAGGTGCCTCAAGCATGGGGGGAACTCCGAACCCGGTGGGGGAGGCTCGGGAGAGATAGCTCGTTAGTAAATAAAGGATGAATGGTGAGGAGATTGTAAGATCACCTACGTACGGTAGTTAAATGGTGAGGATGATCACAAAAAGGTAGGATTCGCGATGTGACGCAATTGGTGTATGCACAGTACGAACGCACAAAAAGGAAGGAAGGAAGGAAGACGAGAAAGATAAGGAGAAAAAAAAATGCAATATACTGTATAATAACTTGTAATACAAGAAATGTGCCGTAGCTACCACATGTAAATACTACTATGTACTACTAATACGTATGTATGTGTATGTGTGTATGATATGTATGTGTGTATGTATGGAGGTTGGTAGTATGATAGGTATGATATGTTGCTGGCAGGGCTGAGGTGGATCAATGGACGGGGCAAGTACAGTTCTCGTACAGTACTGTGTCGGTAGGTAGGGTAGGCCGATCAGCGGAAGCGATGGCCGAAATGAGAACGCTTAAACAAAGTTAACTTATGCTTAATCCCAATCAACCACGTGGAATACTACCTTCCTTTTGGGTGGGTTGGTAGAATCTCTCTCTCTCCCTCTTCTCTCTCCCTCTCTCTCTTCCTTTCTCTCATAGGGAGCGAGGGTCCCGGGGGGGGGGAGAATGGAATGACCGGGAGGCTATTAATGGACAACGAGCGATCTGAATGGCCTTTTCCAAAAGGCAAGATTGCAAGTTTCACACACACACACACAGACACACCACACAGAACTGACTACGATACGAAGTGAGTAAAAGAGCGAGTGGAATGGAAAAAAAAAAAAACCTGATTACTTTATTGAATTTTACTCCAAATAAACCTTGAAAACTTGCCCGTAAACCACCACTATTCCTGGACCCCTCCACCAGAGGAAGAAAGAAATAATAAAAGATGCCCCTATCGTTTCTCCGTTAAAACAAGTTATCCCCCAGTCCATGTTCTATCCCTACGATAAAAACCGAAAGTTATAAATAAAATAAGAAATCCCCTGAAAATAATGGAAAGGAAAAAACCCTCAGATAAAAAAGGAAAAGTTGATGATGGTGATGATGGAAATAGCAGGAAAAAAGTGAAAAGCCAGACACCGGAATGAAAATAACAAAAAAAGAAAACCCAAAAATATTCCATGGTGATTAAAAAAGAGTGAGAATATGAAAGCGATATGAAAATACCAACAAAGGAAAGGTAGAGAGGGAAGGGAAAAGAAGAAAAGAAAGAAAGGAAAGCCGATTGGAAGGGAAAAAATACATCCTAGAAAGTAATTTTGCAAACACAAAAGCAAATCCCCGAAGGAGCGATCCAGGGAGCTTTTCTCCACTTTTGAGAGAAAGGTCCAAAATGAACCGAGGCTATTAAAACTTAACCCCATGACAATCCAGCGAACAGAAGACAAAACTTTTAGAGGTATGATATCTTGTCACTGCAAATTATCACGCAATAAAAGCCCTATTCAGCACCCGCAGAGCCCTGGCATCCTCCCCAAACCCAAGCTTTTCACTTGGGATATCTTGTACTTCCAGCCCGCTCCTCCCAGGGCTGCTACCACCATCCATCCCCCCGCTCGGGCTTTGTCGGAGAGGATTTATATCAAACTTTTCGCTTCTAGGAGGCGACCGGCCATTCAGGCTACTAGCCGGCGAAGAAAACCGGCCACCTTGATCGGGACATGGCAGAGACGGCATGGGTATATCTGATGGTTGCCTCTGCATTTGCTGCACGGCTGCCCGTGGCGAACGGTGGATGTGCATCATTGGAGATCCCATGGACCCTCTGTGTGATTGTTGCGGAGGGAGGCCATCCAGGTGCGGCAGTGGCGTTCTGTCATACTGCATTGGCGATCCAGCAGCGGAGGGGAAAGTTGGGGGATTGTACGCCATCGGAGAGGATGCTGCGCTATTTGGCAGTGGTAACTGCTGTGCATACTGGCCGGCCGGTGGGGGTAGGTTTGTTGGGGGCGTTGAAACAGGGCTGGGAGGCCAGCCATACGCTCCTTGTTGGGGATAACTGTTAGGATGCGTTGCTCCAGGAGGCCGCTGGATCATAGCGTTAGGTGATTGTACATGATTGAAGTTTGTCGCAATCATGGGGCCCCGAGTCACAACTGGTACATTCTGTTGTTCATGTACTGTGCTCTCCGGATACATCCCCTTCGCAGGTCTGATATGTTTTAACGCGCTGTCCTGTGTGGGTTGGATGAGGTTCTGCGATGAGGGGTGCGAACGAGCGTAATAACTGATGAGATGTAGCTTCTGGTGAGTGGCGGTAGTGATGGAAAAGGATTGTTTCATTAACCCATCCGGCTTGTATCGATACCCATCCGGTCCTTCGGTATCTAGTCCATCAGAATCACTATCAGGATTAGGTGATTTTCCCACACGACCTCCAACCGACAAGGTGGTCGTAGGAGGAGCAAAAGCGTTTCCACCGCGCTTCCCTTCCATCTCCCGATACGTCAGAAAACTACCCGAAACCCTACTTGCGCTCCATGATTTCCCATCTGTCCACCGCCTCATCCCCGCTTCCCGCTCGTCCCAGACGAACACACTCCCAGATTTGATGTTCTGTCTCTCCTTCTCCGATAACCGCCTCTGCACTCGTGGGAGCAGACCTAATCGACAAGCTTCGAACAATATTATTGCATCCGCCGGCGATCGTACGTGGCCATGATATGTCTCCATTTCGTGCTCTTGCGGTAGTCCCCCGATACGCTTCGGATAATTCTTTTCCAATCTATAACCTCCCCTCACCACCCCCTGCTTACGAGACCCACGCTTGTCCGACGTCCCTAACACCGATATCCTGGAAGTTCCGCTGGGGCAGCACTCCAGGCTGGGACAACCCTTTGTTCTTTGTAGGATAATGCCAAAGCCGATGGTAGTGCTAGCGCAAGTCGGTGAGTGTCTATGTGTGTGCGTGGCGGTTTGGTAGGGTAGCAACTAGTCGACGATGGACGTTTCTTGAACAGGTGATGGGGAGGATTGCTCAAGGTAAAGTAGGTGTGTGTGGAAGGGGTTTGATAGAATAAGGGTAGCCTGATAGAGTGGGTGCAGGTGTGGGAGATGGAGTGGTAGGAGAGGAGGAGGAGGGAAGAGGAGAAGGAGAGGAGGAAAAGAAAAGAAGAAAGGTGGGAGGAAAATAGAGGATAAAGAAGCGGGAGGGGTAGTGAGAGAGCGAGACGCTGAGTATATCAAGCGTCAGCGGCAACGGACACAATCTATCGGATTGCCGGCGCCCGTTAGTGATATTTGCTGGGGGGTGTGTTCTGGGTTTATGTGGAAGGACAGGGTATGGGCTGCGAACACAACAGCGGCACAAGAAGGCTATTTTCTTATGATGCTGCTGCTGCTTATTCCTACATATGCACGAAAGCCTTAACCCAGGAGTCAAAACCGCACCCAAAAAACCCACCGACAAGATGGATTCAAATTGGGGAAGGAAGGAAGGAAAAAAAAAAAAAAAAAAAAAAAAAAAAGAACGGGTAATTCCAATAAGGTAAGTTTGGTGATGGAATAAAAGACGGGTATTTGAGATGATCTATTTTTCCTCAGAAGACACAAGCGGGAAAATATGGGAAACCAAAAGGGGACGATGAAAAAATGAAAAATGAGAATAAATGAAAAAATGGCATGAGCCGGACGATGAAAGGGAGAGGATGACATACACTTTAGGTTGTCACTGGGTCAGGGACCAGTTTTCCTTTCAGAAATGGTAAATATCGCCTCGGTGGTAAGTTAGTACTTGTCCGGAGAATTCCTTCTCAGCGAAAAAAAAGCCCAATCCTCCTTCTCGTTCCTCTGGCTGAGATCCTTCCTAATCCCTGCCGCTCAATAATCTCCCCCGTAGCCAAGTAAGCCACAGTCAAGTACAGTACAAGTAAAGCACAGTGATCAGGCAGGTAAAAATTTATGTGGTGGTGCGGGCACAAGGTTTTGGGGGCTCGATTTCCTTTTTTATCCCCAAACTTTACTCTTTTCGCCAAACAACTGGGCTTAGAATTCTCACTCAGTCGCCGTATTCAACCCGAGGTGATTTGATTTGAGTGATGGAACGATTGGTCGCTGTTCTACCTGCTCCTGCGGTGCTGGTGCTCGTGCTGTGCTATGTTGCCTGCGCTGTGCTGAGTCTTCTGTCCCTCGGTATGTATAGTAAAACTTTTGTGACCCTGTTCTGTTCAGTGCTCGGGATTCGATTGCTTGGATTGGGACTTGGGGGGAGGGGAAGGGGGGGAAGAGAGTTCTCGTGCCCTCCTGGTCTTAAATCTCCGGCCCAACAACCTTGGGTTCGCACAAGGGGGCGGAGCAAGATGGGGAAAACCCCCGATATCAATAGTACGCATTGTAAGTTTAGGAGGATGGGGACGTAACGCAGGACAGAAGAGCGAGTTTCTCGAAACGAGATCTACATGTTCCATGGCAGGAGTAGCCAGCGCGGGAGCAGGTTCCCTCAAGGTTACCGCACACCTTATGGACGGCGCTTTACTGTGCTCACACAGCAGAGTACCCTCGATGATACCAAGATGGTACAGTACCACCCCGGGGGGGGGGGTGTAAGATTAGTTATAGAGGTTGCGTAGTCCCTACAGTAGAAGCCTAACTATTTATCATCCCTTCGTTCGCGCCCGAATTTCACATCCCTTCAGTGTGCGTATTTTGTCCCTCCCATCTTCAAGAGCCAGGCTCATCAAGGTATGGTTTCGGTCACATAATTGTGACCTGGCCAGCGGAATTTATGACCCCGAGGAGTTAACCCATTTCCCTCACGTGGCGATACTGTCGCCCTGTTCAGCTCGGGCGTGAGGCCCTGAATACAGACGAAGGGGTAGGAAGGAAGAACAGCAGCAGCAACAGCAGCAGCAGCAACAGCTCAATTGGAGCACCGGTAACGGGAAAATAACCGCCTGAGTGGGTCTTGATCGTTTCGGCACCCCAGGACCACAGCAGGAAACACTGGGGGGGCCAAAAACAGCTAATAACAGATGACACGACCATCAATTCCTCGCCTGAATTTTAGGGAACAAACTCTCTTATTCCTTCGGGTTTATAGTAAAACCATCCCTGGACCGGAGCTGGACCCTTTAATACAAGTAGCAGAACCAGGTACGACGGGAAGTGTCTCCCTTGCGAAGAACCAGCAGTACTCGAGTACTCGAGTAGTTGGTGGTGCTCCTGGTACTGTACATTAGGGTGTGCTCGTACTGTACTCGAGTACAGTACTCAAGCATAAGTACCCGGCATGATGAACCCGAACACAGGGGCAAAAATTTGCCAACTAATCTGTGCGCATCTGAGAGCCCCATACTAACTTTCAGACTCAAATATTCGGCTTCTTTATGCCGAGTATCATACTTGCACCAATAAGCTTCGGTCTGCCCTCCCCTCCCATACAGGCAGGAGGGAAGGTCAAAAAAAAAAAAGAGATACCGGTACTATAATAATGAATAAAGTAAATAAATAAACAATACTGGTCCCGTACCGTACTGTACTCGAGTACTTGTACTGTACTGTACAGTGCAAGTGCTTGGCTTACGACGCTCGAAAGGCATGGTGAGTGTTGTCAGCAAGGACGTTACAGTTCCAACTTATACAGTGTACAATACTGTACAGCCATAATTAACTTATTCCCGGACCTTTCCGGCCTATTACGAGCACTTCACTTCATTGCAGCATGCCAAATAAGGACCCTGGGATCTGGATACCGATAACCACTTCAGCTCACACAACGATGCGATACGAACCCGATAGACCGAAGGCCGAGAAAAATGCATATGATGAATCAATCAAAATGGAAGTTCACCCATCTATCCGTCCAGCAATCCTTACCACACACGCATCCGCCCATCCCTCCATCCCTTCCGCTCCGCTACACCTTACAGGTACTGTACAGTACAGCACTTGTACAATACAGTACTCGGGTGCCTATCTCCTCCGGGTGAACCTTTGCAGTGCAATCCATTTTGGTGCAAACTTTCCGGACACTTGCTAGCGGGCCGGGAAATACGCCGTGGAAAACAGCGAAGCCCCCCCTCCCCGCACAACTCAAAAAAGAATCACTTGACTTTTTGGTGATGAGAGGACTTTGGGAGGAAAAAAAAAACATTCGAAAGATTCATTGTTTATTTCCAAGCGACACCCCAATTTTTTGAAATCTTCTATACCCCGGAGGCTTCACTATGCGCATAGACACCCTCAGGTATCATATTTTGGATTCTCTGGTACTGTGCTGTACTGTACTGTACGCAGTGAAGGCTCTGAAAATTACTCGATATCGCCCCCCACTCCTCAAATATGCCTTAATCTATTTGAAAATATTAGAAACTCACCCGAATCCTCAGGTTATTTTATAGACTCACTCGGAATCCCCCTTTGATCCCCTCATGTCATTTGGGAGATGAAATGACTACCGGGCTTTTGCGATGTATTTGTTGTTCATCGCTGTGTGAAACCCTCCGGATGGGTAAATTTATGTCCCCGCCTGGGATGGTGTTCAAAATGTTTGCATAAAAATGCATGCATTGAAAAGGCCTTCCCACCACCTCCTATCCCTCCGCTTACGGGTATTCTCGAATCACGTACCGTAGGGAGGGTCTCAGGACCCTCGCCGATGGATGAGACATCAAGGCATCGTTCGAACCCGAATAACTTTCGCACCTTGGAGGCTCATTTAGTCGAACCGGGGGAGGGGGGGGCGGAGGTGTGCGAGAGAGGGAGGAGAAGATTACAAATATGACACCACACCGGCTAACAAGTACAAGTATGCTAGGCAACGATTACACCTCTCATGTCACGCTTGTACTTTTAAAGTTGTACCTGTACGATATTGGCACAGTAATTCATGTGCCTCAAGACCCTCTCAGTCACTCCACCAGTGCAGTCTCCCAACGGGCATCCACGACGATCGAGAGTTCCAGAGCGAAAGAAGAAGACTGAGGTGAGGGGGGGGTGGGGCAACGAAAATAACAAGGCTGTGCTATATATCATGGCCCCTTCTCAATAAGTTTGAGTTAACCATCTCACATTCTCTCCTGAACCACACAAAATACTTGTATGAATATGCCGGCATATCTTGGAATGAGCGGTGCTCTCGTATATGCGGAAGGTAATCAGTTAATCCATCGATCAATCAATCCAACAATCCAATCTACTTGTATCTATCAAAATAACTTGAACCCGAAAGCGTGGGAGTATCGGGAGGCGGAAAATAAAGTTACCCGTGCTACCGGAACACAAGGAGAGGGGGAAAAGAAAAGAAAGAGAGAAAAGGGAAAAAAAGGATGGAGTAACTTGAAAAACCGGTTCCACTAATACTCGGACGGAGAATGGCGACTTAAACAAGCTGATATTGTTCCGTCTCTAAAATCTCGCCCCCCCACAACATCGAGGCCTGGCTTTATTGTACAGTACCCGATCGTATCAAGAGTGACCTTGCAGCGGGCTAATTGTATCCGAAGACATGGGTCATGCTTTTCTCTGGGTACAGTACCGTACTGTACTCAGATAGGCACGGATTTTTTACCATAATATTATATTTTCCGAATCCTTGTTTTAAGATATCATACTATAAGACAGTACTTGCCACTCCCCCTGCGAGTAACAGGTAGACTGTGTAAGGTTTTACGCCCACTGTAAGGGGGAGGCGGGGTGGGAGTTAGATTGGGTTCTCTGGTCCTTTTTTTTTTCCCTTCCCCCACCGTACTCGAGTACTGGACTACTGTACGTCTCTTTGTTTGGTCACCTCACCATAAGTACTATTGAACCATTCGCTATGCCTAAATCCCATTAGGTTATTTAAAGTTACTGGTTGAGACATAGAGGTGCTCGAGTAAAAGAAAAAAACAGAGGAGAGAAAAGAAAAGAAAAACGACTTAAACTTGGTGAGATATTGGCGGAGTCATCGTGCGAATGAAAGGACCACCCGATTTCCCAGAGAAAGGGGACTTACAAAGCTCTGTGTGATATTGAGTTCAGAGAGGGGTCCGCGTGATAAGCTCTCTCTCGCGGGATCGTCAGTAGGATAGCTGATAAATTTACCACAGCCATAGGATTACATACTAGGGGGGCTAAGGCGCATATGGATGGATGCCTACCGTAATTGTGCTTCATCGTTTCACCTAAC